TTATTTCTAATATAAAAGTAATATTTGTACTTGAGTATAAACAATATTTAGATGGAATTGGCTTGAGCTTAGAGTGAGATTAATAATTGACAAAGATAATGGGAAATATATATGAATAGAGTCAGTGAAAGCTGGCTAAGTCAAATGGGAAGATGCGCAAATATTTCGAGATTTATTAATATGTTTCTAGATATTTCAATAAATAACAAGTAAAACTGCCTTAGCAGGGAGTGCTCGACTGGAAGATACCCTAGATATCGTAGCATGTGCTTTGTAATGAGCTTCTATGATATATTTTTAGAGAAAGTAGAAGGGGAAGTAGTCAAAAAATGCACGTCTACTTTATAAACTTACAAATTTATTTACTTAAAAAGAAACTCTCTAGAATATTTGACACTTTTAGTGAACTTTGTGAAGTTTGATATCGACTCAAAGGAAATCATTTGAAAGTCCGTTTCAAGCTGAGAGCATTAGAATATGAAGTTAACTTTTGATCCATTACAAGTTTAAATGATTCTTTAAGAAATACTTAAAAAATATTAAGCAAAATATTATAATAATTATTAACAATATATAAACGAATAACTAATTTATTAATAGAGATTTCTACACTCATCAATTTGAGCATAAATATTTATTCTTTCACTGACGCAAGCACTTATGAAACATAATATTTTAATTGATATTTAAGTTTCTATATGTGCATATAGAATATCAATTAAAGTGGGCTGCATTTGCTATGTTTGCTCCACATTTCGAGATTTTAATATTTTACCTTTTTTCACATTTTCAAGTATTCATTGAAACTGTACATTTTAGATTGGGGCAAACATGCAATAGCAGAATAAAAATAAATTAAAAATGTATTTTATAAAAGCGAAAATTGTTTGCGCTGCTCGAGAGTTTGGAGTTTAATGGAATAACATGGGCAGGTCATAGTTTGTATATGTTTCAGGCAGGTCAAGTATTTCAGTTGAACTTGGCATGTGCCAAAGGCTAAACTGAAAGGAAGCAAAGAGACTTCCTCAGACACCCAAGTTGAGTTGAGGTTGCCTGTGCCTGTAGAACAGAGCGGACAGCTTCGTGGTTGGCCAAAGCACATAATCGTCTGTCTCCCTCACTCCCTCCTGCCGCATGTGGGCGAACGTAATTAATTCCATTGAATCAAAGCGCAGCCCGGGCTAATTATGGTTTACTTGAAGCTTTGACATAAACTTCAAAAACTTTGGCTCACAAAAAAGTGCAGTGAAAAACCTTTTGAATCGAGCAAATTGCCCTGACCCGCATTCAATGAAGTGACGTTTACGCTGCGCCTGATTAATTTATGGTTATTACAAAAGACGAGCTCCAGCTGCTGCCCAAACTAGTTTATTTACAAACTTTTGACACATGAAAGGCTTGGCAGGCCACACGGCAAGGCATCGTACTGGGCACATTCTCAGTGGGCAATATATTTAGTTGGCATCTGTGGCCAGCGAACTGAATGTATTTCCCACTAAAATATTCCAATACGCTTGCGATTCTCTTCATACTGCTTCGCAATGCTCGTCAGGTAGAGTCCGAAGCGCAGCAGATCGCTGCGTCTCTTCACCAGTTCATTGTGGCACCTTAGCTGATCAACGCGCCGTGCCCTGCTGCGCTCGTATCTCTGCAGATGATCCTGCATGTCCTTGACTGTGTGATTCAGCAGCGCCAGCCCATCACTGCCTTTCCTGGCATCCGCAGCAGCAATAAGCTTGGCCACATTCGCTGATCGCAGCGCGAGTCGATCGACGCGCTCTTTGAGCATCTGCTGCTTCAGCTCTGCTGCTCTTTGTTGACTCTGCTCCATGGACTTGACACTGAACTTTCGACGGAAGTTGAGAATAAAAGCTGGGTAATAATCCTTCGGCGCATCCTGAAGGTGCACATAGAAGGCTTCATTGGGCTTTCTTGCAATCGGTTCAGCTACTGGCTCAGGCTGCTTGTATTGCATGTAACCAAACGGATGCGAGCAGATGTAAAACTCTTCCGCATCGTCAGACAGCGGCTCATAGTTCATTTCAACATTTAATTTCAATAGATTTTCCAAAATATTTTAAATACAAAAACAGGGTAAACCTGTTTAAATATATTTTTAAAAAATTTAATAATGAAAGCAGAACGCCGTCGAAATATATTGACAAGAATATTAAATTAATTTACTATTAAAATTAATTACTCTCAGTCGTAGACTGTTCTTAATTAATGTGATATACAAAGATAGTGAAAGTATTTCTTTACCAGAAACTTTATATTTGAGCAGGTTATACAAGTAATGGAGGTTGATGACTTGGCGATGTTATTCAGGCAACTTAATAGCGAGAATCGAATAATTAGTATTCAAATTGGTGTAAGTAAGAACGACTTGTGCCTGGGAAAAGCGCAGTATTTTATAGTAGAGTGTAGCTAAAGGATTGTAGAACTATTAAATAGCTTTCAAATACACATATTTAAGCAGAAATAAAGAAACTCTTACAGAAATTTGAAAGAAATTTTTAAAAATATTTGAGCTTTTATTTTATGAGAAAACGCTTTTCAAGCTGCATAAATTTCAATGAATTAGGTTTTGTTTTATTATAAATTCTTTTGCTTTGATTCGTTTTCCACTACAAAAAGGAGAGGCCATGGCTAAAGCCGAGTTCGCAAAGTCCACGCATTCTTTCTGTTGGCATATTGAGTGCTAGAAATGTTGGTTGAAATTATTTAGCTAATCATGTTAGTTGGAGATACAATATGAAAGCAGGCGTAGTTTATGGTAGTTTTAATCCAAGAGGAGAGGCAAACATGGCTTAAGTAAATAAAAATATTTAAAAAAAAAACATTACTTTTCTATGCTTACTTAAAATAATAATTAAAAACTTGAAAATAAAAATGCTCAGACTTCAACTACTCCAAACTGCATCACTGCAAGCTATATATATATATAACTATAATACCTATGAAATTTCCTCTCAAATGATAGATTGAGTAACAAGATGTGCAAAGAGCTCTCTAATTTCCAAGCCAATTCATAAGCCTGCCTTATGGAACACAAAACTCTGCACAAATTGCAAACATAATTTTTCCTAGTTGAAGTGAACAACGCAACACGTGCACTGACCTAAGCGTATACATATATACATATGTAATTATATATATATACTATACTATAGCTATGTAACTATCTGCTCGGATTTAACACAAAAGTTGTGTGTTATTATTATGATTAAAGTTTCGGTTTTTGTGTTTTTGTTTTTGCCACATGCAGACGCCACACTCAGCCAACCACACACATGCACAGCTCACACACAGCTCACCCACGCCTGCCAGCATAAAACACATTAGTATTAGACCCATTCATGGGAGTGGGCTGCCCCAGCTTAGCTTCAGGTGCAGCTGCGCTGCTCTTCTCAGCTCTGCTCTGCGTGTGTGGCTGCGGTCATGTTATTCTCAAATCCTGCCCATATGTTTGTGGTTTGGTCTGTGAGTCAAGGTGCAGTTTGAGTTAGCTCTACAAAAAAAAAAAAAAAAAAAAAAACAGACTTTGGCCACTGCGACTGAAGCGCTACTTAAGCCTGGTATTTGTACAATTTTTTGTCTGCAACACGAACACTGGCAAACAAAAAAAATCAAGCGTAAAAAATAACCCGCAACACCATTTATGGTCAGCGTTTTGTACCCCTTCGGCAAATCGGATTAAAATCCAAAGGACGAAAAATAATCAAAGCTTTATGCAACTTTACTTTAACTAGCTGTTAGTCAGTTTTAGCTGACGAGTAGTAAAAAATAAATAACTTTGCTTAATTACCAACAGTTCAAACAAAATCTCAGTTTTTATTCTGAAAAGAGTTTCGACCGAAAGAGTTAACTGAAACTTTTTCGCATACATTCCATATAATACCATCGAGATTCCGATTCTTTTGTCCGCCAATTCATATTCATATTCATATTGAAAATTCATCCATTAAACCAAGCCAAGCCTTTAAAATTGAACTAAGAAAACGCTTCGCGGGTTTTTCAAATATTCCATTCAGGAAAAATTCGTATTCAACTTTTATGTTCCCATTCAATCGACTGTGGAAATTCAATTTGTATGGCTAAAAGTTAAGTTAATATTGTATGGCCTAGAGTTGAAAATCGTACAATCCAATCAAAAAGCACAGAATGAATTGAAAATATTTTCCATGATTTTCATAAGGTCCGCAGTCAGCGTTGCAAACTGGTTGCAAAAACTAATAGTTAAAGCTCAAGAGAAAACCACTTGGCGCGCTTGTAAATACATAAAACCGTAAATTATTTCTGGGGAAAATAAACTTCATATATGTAATAAAACATGGCTTTAATTTACTCCTGCCGAAAACCTGTTTTAGGTGGCGCCATTGCCATTTCTATTACGAGCTTTCGGGTTTCACATTTACTGCCTTCCGGACGCAATGCAGTAAAACCGAATCCAAACACGCAACTAGATGCATAGAAACGTGGAAACAATTCAAAATAGAATTTGTGGCCTGTATACGTAGGATCTCCTGTCCGATAGCGATAAAGAGTTTACAGCAGTAGTAAAAAGCAAGTCATGAGGTCTCGAAAGCGTTTAAGTAAAACCTAGTTCAAATACTCTAACTGAAAAGCACTTGAAAGTTGTTAAGAAAACTTTTATCATTAATTAGATTTTCAGTAACTTACGTAATTTAGTTAAAATTGCCTTAACGTTACGTTGTACTCGAACTTACAACGATATATTGAAAATACGATATATCGATGCTTGACACATTTGTTTTTGGAGAGTTTTGTAGTCTAGAAAGAAAAGCGTTATATCGAAACAGCAATATATCGATGCTTTTCACGTGCAGTGTGAAGCTTTGGAGATTTCTTTAGTTCTCTTTGATTTCGAAGATTTAAGCAACGTATATTGCAAAATGCCATCATCTGGATATATTTTCCTGTTATATAAATAACTATAACAAGGCATCGTTTCATAAAGCTTCTTCATTTATTTACAGATGCATGGGAAATCTTTGTCAAGTGAGAGCAAACGAAACGTTGGGCAATTAAAGGATTAAGCGAGGACGTGAACAGGACCTCGACTGAGGGGCTGGAAAAAATTTGGGGAATCAGCGCCAACAGCATCTGCGGCTTATCGGGCGTGTCTCTCCCTCTCGCTGTCTCTGTGTACGTATTTCTTCGGTCCCTTTGTAAGGTAGTCAGAATGTTAGAGCGGGCTGCGCATGGTGCAAATTGTGGCAGTTGAAATACTTGTGGTCGGTCGGGCGCAGCAGCAGCAGCAGCACTTGTATTCGTATTCCAATATATATCTATATCTGGGCAACTAGCATAGAACGAACGTTTTGGGACAGACACACACAAGCTCAGCTCAGTCACTGGCACAGGCACTGGGAGCGCTTCAGTTGTGTGAGGAGGTATGCAAATAAACGGTCTTGCTGCCGGACCAACCATGGCCGCATCAGAGCCACCAGAGCCGCCGCCACGCAATCCGGATCGCATAAATGCCTCTCTGCACAAGCTGGGCGAATCCGTAAGTACACCAAGTACAACCCAATCCAACCCCCACCACCCAAAGTGCCAACCCTGCATGCCCCAGCCCCGCTACAACAACCACTACTAGTACTAAAAAAAACAAGAAAAAAGAACCCTCCATTCACTTGATGTTTAACCTAATTGGGCCTCATTCATTTGCTTGTTAGCGCCGCTGGGTGGCTTTGGGCAGGGGAGGGGACTTGGAGGGTTAACCAAAGGAAGGGGTCAACATACAATTTGCATGCCACTCGCCATTCAGCGCTGTTCCACTTTCACATGCTTATACTTATGCTTACAAAAGTTTCGGCACATTTCCATTACCTTATCTGTACGTATGTATATCTTTCTCGCTCACACATGCTCATTGACTAATTGACTTGGATACCCAGCGACTCGCGCGCTCTCTCTATCTCTCTCTCTCTCTCTTTATCTGTCTGTTTTGCTGTTTCTCATACTAGTTTTTGAACATTTCTAACATCCTACTTATGCATAGAGCGTCCTAATTGAAGTGCATCCATTAAATGTTTGTCCAACTTTGCAGAAAATTGTCAAGTCGCTGGACTCGAGTGTGGGCGCGCTCAAAGAGAAGTCCGTCAACAACAACAAGCCTGTGAAGCCAGTGCTCTCCCTGGACAACAACACCAGCAGCCAACAGCTCGGGGCCTCCTCGACCTCGTCGGCAGCAGCAGCAGCAGCGCCCACATTAAAGCAGCCGAGCCTGCTGGCAAGCAAACGGGACCTAACGCCCAACGCCTCCGCCTCCGACAGCAGCTCCCCGGCTAGCTCGAATGGGAGCAATCAGACGCTCACGCCACCCATGACCATCGACAACCAGAATCGCTTGGCCGCCAAGGGCGACACATTGGGACAAGCACAAGCACAAGCGCAGGCGATTGGTCAACCGCAGTCGCAATTAGTGAATGGCAGCAGCGCCAACTCCATCAGCAGCAGCATATCCACGGCAGCCATGATCCATGCGAATAACTCAAATTTGATTGCCGCAGGTCACTTGGCGCAGGTCAACCCAACCAGCAGCCAGCTCAACGCCGGTAAGTGCCAACCCGCTGCACCCAAATGCATTTCTATAACATTTCAGCTGGTCGAGTGGGTATGTGAGTGGGCGCAATTAGCTCAGCAGCAGCACCAGCACCAGCAGCTGGATGGGGCTTAAAGCAATTGCTGCGTATACACACAGGCATAAGTGTGCAGATACATATATGTCTATATGTATGTGTTATATTTTTTATCTTCTCTCTACTGTGTGCTGCCATGGCCACAAATTATGCCCCTTTGTTACACTATCTTCCACTCAAATGACATTTTATACTTCGCATATATTTGTAGTTTATTAATGTAACCAAATTGAAGCTGAACTTAAAGGCAGACTCTGCGATCCGACTCTAGTCAAATTCATCTCTCTAAGCAGAAAATATTTAAACTGTTTCTTCAATAACTTTGCCCATTTATAGTTAGATTTCGAGTGAAATTTTGTTGGGCATAACTCGAGTTAATACTAGGAATCTTATTAATTTATGTAGTGCAGCTTGGCATGTCTCTGCTTTGAGAGTACCTAGCAATCTCTTCTAGATTTCTGCTTGGCAGCTAAAGCTTACTTCTGCAGTAAAATCTGTTCAGTTTGCTTTGAGCGCCTTTTGATGCAGCAGACGCAATATGAAATGCCTTTTGCATTACATGAATACATGAAAGAGCGCATATGAATTGCAGTTGGACTGGGTGATATGGACTTTGCTCTGTTTTCCGGCTTCAAGACCAAAATCAGACCTCACATATTTCGGCCTGTCACAAACATTGAACAGCAAAGCCGCCTTAGTTACCTTTACGAAAAGCTCGCTCTCTGGTGTTGTTTTTCGATTTTACTTATGTGTAACGCACCTGAAGGCAGATTGGAGTGTAGTTAAAACGGAAAACAGTTGCAAGTCCTAAAAATTAAAATGAAAATCAGACTGCAATGTGTTGGCTGAGTCGGCACGAGTGCAGGAAACAAATGGGAAAACTCGGGGCAACAAGCAACCGCATGGTTAGATGACATACACAAATCTCTTGCTTACACGTACTTTTTGGAATGATGCAAAATGCGCCTGCCGGCCACAAGCGAATGGGATCCAAAGTGCAGTTGGGTCCGGCGCATCGAATAATTTCCGAATGCCAAAGAGAAAGTCTCGAAAAAGATAGCAACGGGCTGGCATTTAACGTGGCTCGCTCTGTCCGCCCTTTTAATGGCGCTGGCAAAAACTAACGAACCGCCGCCTCCAGCCGCCTTGATGGATTGGGCTCTTGCCCAACCTGTCGTCGTAGCCGTCATCAGGATTAGATGCGAGCTGCGGCAGCTGTTGCCCCAAAGCAATGCAATTGCTGTCTCGCAAATCATGCAACCAGCTCATGCTGCTGCTGCTATCGACTCACATTTACATATCTTTTCTCGATTTCCTCAAGTCGGCTCTCAGCTATTTAAAGCTGCAGATTCACTTGCTATTTTATTAGAGTATTAGAAATGCAATATTCGATTTGAGTTAGAAATTGAGAGAAAGCCTCAGCCTTAAAGTATACTAGGTTAAGAATTTTTATTCACACTTCCGATCTGTTTATGGGTTATGAAAATGCTGTGCTTGCCTCAGACTTAAAGAATGAAAATTCTTTAAATTTTCTTTTATTTTTTATTGCTAACTTGGCTGAAACAACAACAAAATAGAATCGTTTTAAAATTATTTTTCATTAAATTTGTGTTCAAAATAGCTAAAAGGGCAAACTAATATATTTTAAATGAATTTAAGCGTAGTACAATGGGACACAAATGCCTGAGCTTGGGCAAAAATAAAACAAGAATTTTGAAAAAAGTAAATGCAAATAGTTTTTGAATATGTTTTGACTTCAGTTAAAGACAAATTGATGAAAAGTCAGGGACAGTTATCATATTTCAAGCGATTTTCTCCATCTCTAGCTACATTTGTGTCCAGTTTATGCCTTTTCACGCCCACTGTGCGCAGTTTAAAATAATATGAATATATTTTTAACATTCGTTTAAATTCGCTCATGCAGAAGTGGGCTTAAATAACAAATTTACCATAAAAAGAAAAGCTTAATAAATAGATACGCGGATAATCTATTTAAACAAAAATATGTGCACATGACTGAGCTTCAATTTCATTTGATTGAATATGCCACGTTAAGCAGACAAATCAATCCCATGGAGAGTTTATGCATTTATATAAATTATTATGTACACGAGAGCTTATTTATGGGAAAAATCAATCAATTATTGTTGTATTTATATAAATTTTAAGTGTAAACACGTTTTCAGTTCTACTGTTTCATATTTAGCTTAACAAAATCAATCAAAACTCCTGCACGCTCCATTTGCCTGACTCTCTGCCCGCCCGCCCTTCCTCCTCTCTCACTCTCTTTCTCTGTGTTGCAATTGGATTTCATGATCCAATCATGCCTTGCCCCACTCACATACATTTACTTGTGTCTGCCCTACATTATCATCATTATCTTATTATCATTATTATTAACATTAACAATTTCATGATGATGTGCTTAAATCGTTGTTGTTATTACTACTGTTATTGTTGTTGTCGTTGTTGTTGTTGTTGCTGTTGTTGTTTATTTTGTTAACATCCCTCTCCAACTCCTCTCAACTCGGACACTCATCCCGTTATCGACGAAAATCACGATTGAATACCCTCGACATGTGTGTGCGCGCGTGTGTATGTGTGTGTTTGTGTTTGGGGAAAACACATCACGCCAACAACAATCGAACAATGTATATATATATATAAAACAATATAACTACAGTCGACAAGAGAAATGCGAATGATGTTTGCTCGATTGCAAAATTAATGGAACCGGAGCTGGCAGCGGTCGGCGCAGCCTCATTACCTACTACAACTACTACGAAAGCGAAGACAATGAAAGTTAAATCCGCAGTGGCCATGCCCATGCCCATGCCCAAGCCAGTGGCATCCCCCACAGCGCATTCCCCAACATCCGCTGCATCCGCCGCGCTGCTGATGCTAGAGGCGACCACGACCAACAGCGCTCATGATGGCAATCGCAATGACGAGTCAAAGTTCACATTTCGCTCAGGTAAGTCGATTGAGACTCATATTCTTGTCCGCATCCGCATCCGCACCAGCACCAGCACCCGCACCACTGCTCCAGCTCCCGCTCCAGCTCCTAGTCCTAGTCTTACTTAAGCCATTTGCCATTTCAATCTTGCCTTTTCCTTACTTTTCATCTACCATTTCCGCTCAGTATTTTTAATTGGAGCACAGCTCAGCACAGCAGCTCTATCAGCACTCGCATTAACATTTAACCCGCATGCCCTCACACTCAACCCCCAGTTGCACTTGAATCTGTCCGGATTGCTCCTTGACACATAGCCTATTTAAGTTATTTTCTGTTTCCTCTGTTTCCTCCCCAAAAACTTTTGCTGCCCCAAAGCCTTTCACGTTGCACTTTTCAGTTTCTGCTCGTTCGTAGCTCTCTGTGTTAGAAATTGGCATGCATAAAGGGCAGCTGACTTGGGACATGTCAGTCGAGTATGTTGTTGCAGGGGCGAGGGGCACCAGTCCAAAGGCTCTTGGGCGGGCAGTAGAACGCCTGAATAATCATATGTGGGTGAAAAGTAGCCAAGGGGCTAGCTGCTAACTGCGCGTAGTATCGCGACATCGACACCGTCCTCGCTTTTCCACGGCTTGAGCTTAGCGCGGCACTCAACTGGGCCAGCTGGCCAGTTGCTAGCTGCTCAAACGACTTAACTCTGTTGATCTCTTGCAGAGGCGGCTATGAAGCTACGCGAGGAGAACGAACGATTGAATGCGGAGCTGCTGCGTCTGCGTCGGCTGCTCGAGCACTCGACGGACGGTGCTGTGGGCGGCGCTGATCCCGGTGCCGACTTGGCAGCTGCACAGCCTCATGAGGGCCACAGCATGGCGGCGTCGCAGGAGCGCGTGGAACGACTGGAAACCGAGCTGCGCAGCGTCAAGAATCAGCTGCTCACTATGCGGCTGGAGCGCAAGAAGCTGCGCACAGACAAATCGGATTTATTGGGACAGGTGAAGCAGTTGTGCGCCTCGCTGCAGGAGAAGGAGCAGGAGCTGCGCGACTTTATACGCAACTACCAGGAGCGTGTGCGCGAGACTGAGTCAACAAATGCCAAGATCTCGGGGGACCGCGACCGGGAACGCTTCCAGCTGCTGAAGCAGGCACGGGACGAGGCTGAGCGCTCGCTGGCCCTGGCTCAGCAGCTGTCGGCGAGGGATCTGCAGCTGCAGCGCCTGCAGGAGCAGCTGCAGGAGGCGCGTCGTCAGCTAACGGGCTGCCTCTCCGATCAGGAGAGTCTCCATTCATTTGCACCGCTAACGCCGCCATCGGCCGCCTCCGGCATGCTCAGCCAGTTGGCTGGCGGATCTGGTCTGGCTGGCAATCTAAGCGGCCTGCGCACAACCGAGGACAGCGGACGCGGCAACTCCAACTCATTGTCAGCCTTTAGCGGCAGCCTGAGCGGTGGCTCCGGCGCCACAGTCGGCGATCGCAACTCCTGCTCGAACGACTCGGGCCTACGCAACAGCAGCGATCGAGAGAGCACCGGCGGCGAGCTCAACTTCAGCGACGGCACTTGCGACAACGGACCCTGCATCACCGTCGATCCCGACAGCATTTCTCTAGTCTCCAGCCAAAACATGTACCAATGTGAGTAGTCCATCATTTCCCTACCCTTGCCTCCGGCTCAGCTCACTTTTTGCTTCTCTCATATCGCAGTTGGCACACCCAAGGAACGCAGCCCAACACTCTCGCCTCTGAACTCTGGCGCCTATTCCAGGTAGTTGTATTTGACAGACTTTTCAGTATGCCTACTTAGCCGATACCTTCCCATCAGATCTGTGGAGCAGCTCTCGCCGGATGCTGAGGGACCGGGAGGCGCTGGTGCCATAACCCGAAAGTTCGGCAACAAAAGCGGACCACTGGGCGCACGTAACGGACGTGGTGGCACCTGGGGCAGCATTTCACGCGTGTTCGCACGCTCTCGCAATAAGAGCAAGGCAATGTCCGCTGATGGGGTGACCGAATACAGCGACTACTCGTGGAACCCGCTGTCCGAGGAGGGCTATGCCGAGAAGCTGCGACTGCTGCGAGAAGCCTCCCAGCTGCCCATAGAGCGCTGGCGGGCCACTCAAGTGCTCGCATGGCTGGAGGTGGCTCTGGGCATGCCCCAATACAGCTCACGCTGTGCGGAGAACGTAAAAAGCGGCAAGGTGCTGCTCGAGCTGAACGACGTGGAGCTGGAGGCAGGCTTGGGTCTGGCGCACCCCATGCACCGTAAAAAGTTGCGACTGGCCATCGAGGAGCAGCGGCGCCCGGAACTGGTGCGCTATCCGCTGATCACACAGCTGGGCCACACCTGGGTGGCCTCCGAATGGCTGCCGGACATTGGACTGCCCCAATACGCTGAGCCCTTCCTGCAGTCCCTGGTTGATGCGCGCATGCTGGACACGCTCTCGAAGAAGGAGCTGGAAAAGTTTCTGGGTGTGACGCGAAAATTCCATCAGGCCAGCATAGTACATGGTAAGCTCTTAGCTGCGACTTTGCCCAATCAGACTAATGTATCCCTGTCACACCTAGGCATTCACGTGCTGCGTATTGTTAAATACGACCGCCAAACGCTGGCCATGCGGCGAGTGCAGTCGGAGACTGTGGACACCGATCCCATTGTGTGGACTAACCAGCGCTTCATACGCTGGGTGCGTTCCATCGACCTGGGCGAGTATGCGGAGAATCTGAAGGGTGAGTTGCAGACCAGTTGCCAGTTGCCAGTTGCCAGTTGCCAGTTGCCAGTTGCCAGTTGAATCAATAGATATATCTATTGCATGTTGAATAATAGTAATGAAGGTGCCATTGGATTGGGCACTTCAGTATTAGGTTTCCATTTAATCCCACTGAATTCATGTATCCTGTTCCATTTACAGACAGCGGCGTTCACGGGGGTCTGGTGGTGTTGGAGCCATCGTTTTCGGGCGATACCATGGCTACGGCTCTGGGCATCCCGCCGTCGAAGAACATAATACGACGCCATCTAAACACGGAATTCGATGCGCTCATCCTGCCCGCAAGGTGAGTGTGCGTCCCATCATCACCCATCACATTCACATCATGCGTGTGTGTCCCCTGTTTTTGGTTTCGGCTTCGATTGTGTTGCCGGGAACCACTCTCTACCCCATCTACTATACATAAGTATGTAGCGTTAAACAGCGTTTTGATTCCTTTTACCCCATTCGATTGGAATTTCTATTGTTTCGTTCACATTTGATTGGGTTTTGTTTTTTTTTTCTTTTTTTTTTGTACTTTGCATATTATTCCCATTGTCATCGTACATGCTCGTAATTCGAATTGTTTACTGCTATTGTGCTCATGATTTCGTTGATTTGAGTTATATCATTTCATTATTTCCGCATGCTCCATCATAAACAACATCAGCCTCATCATCACCAACATCGTTCATCACATTGCGATACGTATATAAGGGCTATAGGCATTGAGAGTGGGCTGATGGGATTTATAGATCATGCCATGAATTTATAGATCAGCTTTGTGGGTACAGTTCTTAAGCTAACCTCAGACAGAGCTGCTCAGTCCTCCAAACAAAGCATCAATAATTTAAGATCATTTATTTTGAAGCACTTAAGCAAGGTGCAAATACCACTTTAGCCAATCATAGTATATAGCTAGAGTATCTAATTTATATATAATATATTCGATGCACATTTGATTGTAGAAACAGCAGAAGTTGGGGAAACAGCTTTGTGTTTTTCAGGAAGTATTTAAGGGGCCAGGCTATGTTTACAATTTGTGTGCCGCTTCCTACATCATTCACTTCATCCACACACACACACACACACACACACACACACATATGGACACCAGCATTAGAGTGTAATACGCTTTTCTTGATTTCGAACTGATTTGCATATTCTCGTACATTTCATCAACTCAAAGCTCAGTCTGTGCGCCTCGTAGTCATCATCCAGTTGCAGTAAACCAGTGTGGAGCTAGTCCAGAGATTGCTGTTGTAGTTGTTGAGTGAAGACAATTCACACATATTTATATATATATACATACATACATGCATATATATTCATGCGCCGTCATACGTATCCATATACTAAACTAGCTGCATTATGTTAACTAACTGCTGTCTCCGTCTCCGTCTCCGTCTCCGTCTCCGTAGCTCTCTCTGTGTGTATGTATGTATGTATTATATAATCGAAAAGTGTTATATGTATATATGTATGTGTGTGTAGGCATAAACACACTCGTATATATGTAGTAATCACATACCTGGCGTGTTTGTGTGCGTGTTTTAGAGCATGTCTGAAATGCCGTCAAATAACGCACTAATTGGCTTGTGCCTTATTTTTCTCTCTCCCTCTCTCTCTCTCTATATCTTTTCTCTTCCAACATCTGGATATATATATGAACATATTTTCTATTTTGCTCAACCCCAACAATGCAGATACATAATTTACTGTCAAATGGAAGAATTTCAAATGGAAAACTCCCGGCAATTGGCCAAATTGCAGGGCCATTAAATCAAAAATACCAAATCTAATTGAAAATTGAAAATTGAAAATCAAAAATCACAATCACAATCACAAAAACCAATGCTCGTAATCGCGGTGTGTATTTGTAATCAATTGTAACTCGATGGGATTCAACTCGATTCAATATTTAATTGTATTTAGCTAAGCTGATTGGTATTTCTAGAAAGAGAACAATAATTGGAGCACAGCGCTAATCAAATCAACATAATTAACTCAACTTACTCTTAGTCTAGCTAAACAATTACCAACAAAACAAAAAAAAAACAAAATCAAAAAGATACTCGTAGGGCAACTTAATCAGAAAAACCCACCCTGATGATAACCCAGACCTAATCAAAAAGAGAAAAACTGAAATAAGTAAAAACGAAGTAAAATCGAGTGAAATACTATAGCTAATAAATAAATAGCACATATCGAACAAATCTGAGGAGCTTTGCACTATCTATCGATATGTCCATATTATATATGTATATTATACAAACGAGTCTCCAGAATCGATGTATGCTTTGCAGCTAACTTAAGATCGCATTTACCACATACACATACTATATATGAATATATGAATATATGGATATATACGTATTACACAACTGAACTTTTTGCATTTAAGCCAATAGAGAGAAATAGTATTTGATTGGATTTACAGATCACGCACAGATCCTTAGAAATATGTTTAGGTTTAGTGGGCCAGCGTATACTTGGGTAGAGACTTTTTAAGTAGTAGCAAATGCGATTTGTTTATAGTTTTATATATATACATATATGTGTATTCAACAGACATTTGGATGTGCGACAAAATAAAACTCTATATGTTAGACATATATACATAGATATAACTAACGATATCATCGTGAAAGCACACTCAAACACACACACACACTTACAACTGGCTTTGTAACTGATGTGGACAGCCGTCCACTGTGATACAGAACACATGAAACTGGAATACATTGTACTCACATACATACATACATGCCTATCTATATATATATAGATATATATACATATTCAAATTGAATTATCTGCGAATAGGTATACGAAAAACTCAATTCCGAACCGAAGATTTTCTTTTTTTGCTTAAGTAAACAATAAGAAAACCAAATACATACAAACGTACATACATATACATAAACATATACATACATATATATACATATACATATATATACAAACATTAGCTTGTTTTCCTCTCGATGTTGCCTACTTTTGTGCGCAAACTAGATAATACTCGTAGTACAAAATCTGTTAGAATTTTATTTTCTTCAATATGCCCACTCCAAAATTTCCCTTCCATGTATCCTCAAGTCTCTTTATTGAGTCATTTGTTAACAATAATGAGACAAAATGCAATGTCAATTGTAAGTAAAATTTCAATTCAATTTTTGGGTAAAAACTAGAAATATTTTGTCTAATATGTCTATATTTTTTTTTGTAGAACTTAGCCTACTCGTTGTCATCTAACCATCTATGCTCTCCATTTGATTTCAAATAAGTCCAACACCTGACCCCATATCATCTCAATTTTCTACATACATATACCTCTATATATATATATATATATACATGTATTTGTTGTTTACGCTACAAGTAGTCAATTATGCTAAATACGAAACTATTTATCAATATACACAGATTCTCTCCAATTTATTAATCGTTTTCCTTTCTTTTTGTCTTTGTCCCGTTTCTTTTCTACTTTCCATATTTTCCATATCTTTCTTTCAATTCAATTGTAACTCAACGGCTTGTTGTTGCTATCCTTGTCTTGATTGTTTACAATAATGCATTATACAACACTACTACAACAACAACAACAACTACACGATGTATGCCTACAACTACTACGACCACCACCAATACTACTACTACTACAACATTGCTGTGCGTGCGTGCGTGTGCGTTTGCGCGTGTGTGTGTATGTGTGTGCTTGCCTTTTACGTCTGCCTGCGCCCGCCTGCCTCTGCCTCCGCCTCTGTCACTGCCTCTGCCTCTGCCTCTGTCTCTGTCACTGTCTCTGAATGCCCCGTTATCTGTGTCTAATATTCATTTGTGCCAAAATGCATCAAAATTGTCCACATGCACAAACACAAATAAACACCCACCCATACACACACACACACACTCCCACACACACACACCTAAACGAAAACAATCCGGTTGTATTGCAATGTTTGTTGTGTAGAGCAACTTTGGGTCAAGGCATTCGTTCCGGTTGCGGCATAGTGCCCCTAACTGGACCCGGCGGACTGCAGCACTATGCCACAACAGATCGGCGATCGAGCGGCAGCTTGCGGGTAAGTTCCACTCCAATATATCATCAAACCTCAAACATGCATACAATACATATATAAATATATCTCTATATATAACTATCGCTATATTGTCTGCACACATAAAAATTGCGATTTCTACAATTGAAAAATGAAAAAAAAGAAAACTAAAGAAAACAAAAAGAACTCAAGTTTCTTTCTGCCTATATATTTATCTTAGCCTGATTTGACGTGAAGCTTTTGTTGTCTACTCTTTGTCTCTCTCTCTCTCTATCTGTATCTGTCTCTGTTTCTCTCTCTCTCTCTCTGTATATGTGTCTATCGCTTTAAGTACTTGTGTAGAATGTCAAAGGATCATAGTAGTATTTAGTTTTTCTTATTTATTTTACATAAACAAAACAGACAGACATTTGCCCACTTCTCAAAAGTACTTTGAGCACACAGTACAACAATGTTTCGACACTTAAGAGTACTTAGTATTAATAAGCCATCGAACAAATTGTTCAGCATATACCAAATCACATAAATATACATATTATATATATATATATTTAGCTAAGGTTAAGTATTTCATTATTTTCCTAAAAATTTCTTATACTTTGGCATGTTTAAGTGAAGCTAATAATTGTGTGGACCACAAGAGATAACGTCCCAGAGCAAATCACATCATTAAACGTTTATAGATAAGCTAAAAGAAATGATTTAAAAATAAATTAGAAGAAGAAGCAGCTGGAAAGTAAATCGAAAATTTGCATGTGCTTTTTTGGTATTAAAAAAATACTAAATGGAAATTATTGCAATTAGCTAGTTCAATTGTTTAGGGTCCATTATTTAACGGTACATTGTATGATTCAACAGTGTTGTAAAGCGCACATTTAGTATTTAAAAAAGTCTTTAATCAAAAATGATATATATAAAATAAATAATAACATTTGAGCAGCTTAAGATAGCTAAAAAGCATTTATAATAAAAAATAAAAAATATATATATATTTATTTATAAATATATATGTATAAATATACTATAATCCCATACACAAACCGTAGTTATTGCAAGTAAGTAACAATTAATTGATGAGCATTTTGTGAAATGCACCCAATATGGAAGTTAATTAAAATAAATATAAACTGTTTAAATTGTGATTTTTTATTTGATTTTTGACTAATTCATTAATTATTCACGGCATCAGAAGTTTCACGACAAATCGCAGATAAATGCTAATTGGCATTCAGGTGGGAGTGCGGGGCAGGGGTTTCGGTCAGCTGGTTATCAATAACTGTAACTAATCTTGAATTTTGTTCTCTTTTGTTGCTCCTTTTCGCTTGACAGATTTCGGCATGGAAAGGATCTCAGGTAAACGGCTAGCGCAGGTGTACGAGTTTAGCTGCTAATTGACGTTTTGCTTTCAGAGTTCTCTTTCAAAAGCCTTTCGCTTCAACAGCAAACCCCATCGCGCCGGCGATCGCAGCTCCTTCGGTAACTCCACCTCCCCAACGCCATCGTACAGCAGCAGCGAGGGCGGCGGAGGAATATACGCTACCATAGGTCCGCAGCAAATGCAAATGCAATCGCATCATCATCCGCATCAGCCGCATCATTATCTGCCGCCACCCACAACCGCACCGCCGCCACCGCCACCTGGCTCCAACTATGGCCCGCCGCCACCTGGTCATCGAGTAAGCGCCCCACCCCTCGCCAGCATTCTAGACCCCCACGGGCTGGACTCGCATCTGCTCTATGAGCAGAACAGTCGACGGGTGAAGAGCATCAGCGACATTGGCGTGGCAGCCAGCGGCAGTCTAGGTGGCATATCCGCGTCGTCGGACTCACCTGAATGAGAGAGGGTCTCAAATATTTAATTTGATGTTTCTGCTTCAAGTTCATTTCATGTATGTTCCAAAGTGATAGGTTTAAGAGTCAAGACAGAGTTTCGAGTTCAGCAACTCGTCATGCATTGATGGATTCGATTATGGCATATACCAGACCCACCTGTAAAGGCGTTAAGGTGAACACAATAGGTACGGCACGATACATATATCAGCAACAAACAAAACACTAAACATAATTGATAAAATCAGATTTGAAACTACAGCAGAACAGAATAAGTTCATAATTTATTAAATATATTTAAGAGATGTAAGTTCTATGCACGCAATTATAAGACAAAATAGTAAACATTTAATTAATTGAATTAATTAACCACAGAGCACGTTGGTTATTTGCCGTAAACCAGCTCCAACTACAAACAATTTAACTTTATTAGCCTAATCAAATCTGTATTAATTGTAAATTCATTTTGAAATTAAATTTAATTATAAAAGCAACGCGGAAAACAAAAAACAAAACGGAAAATGCAAATGCGAGTGGCTATAAATTAAAGTCCCCTGACATTGGATTTGAATTAATAACCCTAACTAACCATAATTGCAATTTAGATAAATTCAAATTATTTTGTTAGGCGCCCAACTAACTAACGTAGCTAAGCAATTGTGAAACCCAATTCGATTCGTGTTGTGCAAATTGTAAATGGCTATAAATCTAAGTTTAGAAAACAAACACTTAATGCCCGTAATTGTATGTAAAATTTCCAGCAAATCAATTGAGACAAAAAACATAAAACTTGATCCGCAATAGTGAAAGATTATATATATATCTGATATCCTTCCTACCTATACAACTAAAACATATATTGTATCAATAATATGAGATGTTTATTTTTAAGCAGACCAATTTAACTCTAGCATTACAACTACAAACAGGTAATATAAACGAATAAACGAATGATTTAAAACGTGTTTAATAATATTTTTGCTCAAGCTTGCGATGTTACAGAACTAAAACTTCAACGAATTGCATTCCTTCCAAACCGAAACATTTCACCGTAACCAGAATTTTTTGTGTTTGTGCGTCTCGAATAGTTTTTTGTTTAATGCAGCTTATGGGCTTGGGCTGCTAGCGGCGATCCTCATCGTTCTCATTCCTCGGTCGGCGAGTTGTGTGGGGTCGTCCCTTGGGCTCCGGTACAGGCTCGGCGGCTGTCAAGGTGCCAACGCTGCCGATCAAAGCCAAAACTCCGAAAAGTAGAAACAAATTGAACCACTTCATAGTGAAATCAGTTTGTAATTCGTAGCTAAGCTGGCTGTAAACTGATCTCTGATTCAATGTAGTGCCCCTTTTATGGTCGGGCTTATGCGAACGACGCTGGGAAAGTCTATCAACATCGTTTAGTGTTGTTTATGTTCTTAGATCAAGATGTCCGATTTTTAGAATTGAGTTGTAAATCTTGCGTTAAATATGGGCGGACATACATTTAGGTAATTAGCCCCAACAGCAATTGTTCCCACTCACAAACAAGCGAAAATTGTTTTACGTCGCGACGTGGGATCAATGTTGACATGCCTAATCTATCTAAATGTCAAACTTGACAATAACATTTGACTTATTGACAATTATTCCCAATTTATATATAAATACATATATGCTGTGTATATGCTATGTACAAAACATAGGAGATTTTTTTAAATTAAACTGATCATTACTGAATCACTGGAAGCACAAATACTGTTCAAACGAAATTACATAAATAACAAAATTAATAATAAATTTATATATGAATGTATCTAATTGACAGCATTTCGAAGTGCTTGTTAACTTGGTCTAATGCGATCGATTTTGTTTAGCTTTATGACTAACGCGAATTGAGATTTATATGCTCGTTCCGAATAGATTACAATATCTGAACAAAATTTCGAGCGGAGTGTATACTCCAGTTAATTAACTAACCATCTAACGAGTATTATTTGATGAGATTGCGACGACTGTACAAACAATTTTCTTAAATTAACACCGCATTTATCAAAAATGCTGTTGACTAAACGATAATAACAAAAAATACTATTGTAAACGTTAATTATATTCAGGATTCCATTTGCGAACGGCACTGCAGAATCAACTTTTCCTGAAATATAAGATCCAATTCGTTGGACTCTTGCTCCCGCCGCAGCTCCTCACCGATGCGCTGCCACATACTTTCAAATCCGCAGTCCCACGGGCAACTGCCGAGGTCATTTTCAATTGTGCTCTCATCAAAGGTGAAGGAGTATTCGTGCTCGTAGTCACACATTTTTCTCTTTTGTTTGAACTGCAACAGAAAGAAAGGAACTGTTATAAATATCGATAGGGAAATGATTTCGATTATTTCATTATCATTTTCAGTACCAATCGAAGTGGACAGCCCCGCTGGAGCTGTTATAAGTTAAAGAGCACAGCTGATTGAAATTAGAATAACTTCCAAAGATGTCGCGAAAAAACGTCTTGAATTTGATCAACACAATCGTTGCCAACTCGTAAATAACTATACATATATATAGTTTATCCGCAATCAGCTCATTTGATCCATTTTAGCTGCAAGTGTCCAGCCCATTCGCAAAATTATGGATCAGCTGCAGCAGCCACATCCCAAACGGGTCCAAAAGAGTACGCATTTGAGGTGATTTCGGAATGGGCAAAGTCCAATGCTTACAAACACTTAACGCAGTTTTCTATGCACAGATGTCTGCGTCCACAGTACGCTTTGGTCCAGGTGTAAGCGCAGAGGTGGGGGCTGATTTGCGCAACTGGGGCGCCAACAATGTTTGCCTGGTGACAGATAAGAATGTGGCGAAGCTACCCTCAGTTCGGGTTGCCCTGGACTCACTGGCACGGTATGGCATCAACTACCAGGTGTACGACGAGACGCGTGTAGAACCTACTGATGAAAGTTTCTGGCATGCTGCCCAATTCGCGCGTCGTCATGAGTTCGATGCATTCGTAGCCATTGGGGGAGGCTCAACCATGGACACAGCCAAAGTGGCAAATCTCTTTTGCTGTGATCGCGAGGCTGAGCTGCTTGACTACGTCAATGCGCCTATTGGACGAGCGAAAGAGGCAAGTGACATTGGTTTACATCTAGATTTTCTTTGATTTCCGTTTTCTGGTAGATATCTGTTAAGCTAAAGCCACTCATTGCGCTGCCTACTACGTCCGGAACAGGCTCAGAGACCACTGGAGTAGCAATATTCGACTATAAACGGCTGCACGCTAAAACGGGTATCTCCAGCAAACTCCTGAAGCCAACATTGGGTGAGAGTTGCACATTTGATTTGCCAATTTGTTGAGCTAATTTTCGTTTCTGGTTTGCAGCTATTGTTGATCCACTGCACACTCTTTCGCAGCCGGAACGGGTTATGGCCTTTGCTGGATTCGATGTATTTTGCCATGCCCTGGAGAGCTTTACGGCAGTCGACTACCGCGAGCGCGGTCCAGCGCCTACCGATCCGAGTCTACGCCCTACGTATCAGGGAAGAAATCCTATTTCAGATGTGTGGGCACGATTTGCTCTGGACATAATACGCACAAACTTCATAGATGCCATATACCAGCCCGATAACCAGAAGGCCCGTTCCAGCATGCACCTGGCATCGACTATGGCAGGCGTTGGCTTTGGCAACGCAGGAGTTCATCTCTGTCACGGTCTATCTTACCCCATATCGGGGCATGTGCGCGATTACAAGCCCGCTGGCTACTCTGCTGACCATGCCCTAATTCCACACGGTCTCTCGGTTGTGGTCAGTGCACCAGCTGTCTTTGAATTTACCGCCTCCGCATGTCCTGAACGTCACTTGGAGGCAGCACAGATACTTGGAGCCGACGTAACTGGCGTAAAAGCTGCTGATGCTGGGCGCCTGTTAGCAGACACAGTGCGCGGCTACATGCAGCGAGCGGGCATAGAAAATGGCCTCCACGAGCTTGGCTTCTCCAGCAGCGACATTCCAGCTCTTGTCGACGGCGCTCTGCCCCAGGAGCGCATTACAAAAATGGCTCCACGTGCGCAAACCCAAGAAGATTTAGCCCTACTCTTTGAGAACTCAATGCAGGTGTATTAATTTTCAATATTCACATACCTCCAAAAATTTTCACTGGACACCAATGCAATACGAACTAACGGATCTTTTTAATGAAGTTAGCTGCACTGTCATAGGGATTTCGATAACTTGTGAGCTAACATGGAATCGAAACTGAACTAGCTTACGAACAATCGTCAAAGGATATCGATTATTAAATTGCATAATGTTTTCGACCTAATGTCAACTATAAATATACACTAATATCACCATGTATTTGAATTATTACAAAATTTAAATTTCGTAATTTTACATGACGAAGGAGTTGAGGATGCATTTAAAAATATAGAATATTGAATATATGAGACAGACATAATTTTAAAAGCATTTTCGGCATTAGACTTCGAGTAAGACTTCTGAAAATCCACCTAAGGACTTAATTATATAAGTAAAAGTTTGATGTATTTGCGATAGCTCAAGTATTTGTTACATAAGAATAATTTCGTCTGAGCTCAGCAAACTCTTTCCATATTATTTTGAAATAGCCTTGAGTAAACAAACTCCGCGCAGAGCATATCCACTCATACTTCTCTTGAACTTCCACTTGAGCATTTGCCGAGGCAGCATAATTTCTGCTTATGAAGGAGATGTAATTCGGTTCACTGGACTTCGTATTTGAACCGGCAGTTGACGATTGGCATTTGTTAGTTATGCAAGCATATTTACGAAAGTAAAAAAGTTAAATTTTAAATGTAAACAGTCACGATGCAGTGAGTGTCTGCACAGTATACCCTATATACAGAATGAATATCAGACGAGAGCTCAGTTTTTTTTTACAATAATAAAATGAAGATTTGATTTGAAATTTATTAAATGAAGAAAATGTTTATTTGATATACAATTGCTCAATCCACGTCCAATTCATAAATAAGTAAATATTTGTATTATATTTAGTCGTATTTGGGTATTACTATAATGTAAAGATTAAGTTCGTTTTAGTTAAAATAATTTATTGATTTCAAAATATGTTTGCAAGTTCAACATTGAAATTGATTTGATTGTTGTATCATAATCATAAAAGACTTAACGTAGTAATTAATATTCTCTGCGTTCACTTATCTTGCCCAGATTTCAAATCAAAAGTTATTTTTAAGGAGTTGTAACAGGTTCAGATCTACAGATATCTATCCATATTTTGCCCAACTGTATCCAATATTTTAATTTCTTTTTATTTTATCTCTCTCTCCCTCTCTATCTGTCTCTCTTTCTTGGTGACTTTACTATGCATATGAATTTCGGCAAAATGGCACTAAATCTTCAAAACTGTTCCAGAAAAGTATGCGAAAAATCTGACTTGATTCATCTGTCAACAAGTTATGGAAATATATATATAGAATACGGCGACTCAAACAGCTAAATGCCCGTTGTTCTGGAAACGGTTCTCGGTAACGCCCCTTTCGATCTTTGCCCTTTGCCATCGGTGGCTGCAGTGCAACAACAACTATTTGCTATATCGAATAGATAGTTAGATATTATAGTGGGGAATTTCTCAGTATTTCATTCAGTTTTCTTAACTTTGTTTTGTTTTGTTTGTTTCGTTTTAGCTAATACTTTTCACGCGTTTCGCCTGCTGCCTGGACGAAACGTTTCAACCTGACTCGAGTTGGTATTTGAGCTGCAGTTGAAATGGGTTTTGGTTATTTGTATTTGAAGTCCTGTTGTTGTTTTCTTTTTGTTTTTGTTTTTTTTTCTTCTGTTTTGTTTTTGCAATTTTCCACGTGTTCAACTATGAATTAACTTATAAATTAAAAAAACAGCGCAACACACTCGACTACCGCACTCCACTCTACTCCGCCCATCGAAGCGAAGCCTTGGGAGCTGCTTGCTGTGCGATACGGACTTAGACCTGATTGATTGGCGCGTATCGGTGCACCTTTGGTTGCTTTGGCTCCTTGCTGGTAGTCGGCTTCACAATATCCTCGCTGAGCTTCTGATACACGAAGGAGTTCTTCGATGCCATTATTGCCATGCGATAGCGCTCGCCGCGCTTGCGCAGCACCAAGCTGACCAGCTTGACCAGGCCCATCACGATGACCAACAGGCAGGTGACCGTCAATATGGTTGGTATTAGGAAGTTGGAGCTGTTGTAGTAGATGCGACCGCGCTCAATAATGATCTCCTCCTCGTCGCTGTTGAGCTCATCGCTGTCAAGGCCGAATTTACCTGGAATTGCTCAAAATTAGAAATAAATCTCAAATATGCTAGCTTAGCACTCACCAATCAAGAATTTATCCTTGGTTTCCTTGGACATGTCCACTTCCTCGACCTTCAGACCATGATCCTTGACCTTGGGCTTCAGTTCGGTTTCGATATATTTCTTGACAGCATTCTCGGCCTTTTTCTTATCGCTCTTCTTGACAATGGGCTCGTCATCGTCGTCGCTGTCGCTGTCATCGTCATATTCGCTTTCATTGTCGTCGTCGTATTCCTTGTCTACATCTTCCTTCTCCTCGCCGCCATTGTTCAAGTCTTCCTCCTCGTCACTGTCCGAGTCCTTGTCCTTGTCCTTGTCATCTTCAGCGTTGGCCGAGCCCTTCATGATTTTCTGCATGTTACTTAGCTTGGTCTTATCCAGAACACTCTTGTCCAAAACACTGAGCAGTTTCTTTTCATCATCATCCAATCTCTTTTCGCTCTCCTCTATGCGCTTCTCAAGATCTTCTTCGCCATCGCTCGATGAGCTGTTACTATGCTTGCACACCTCCTGCGCCAGCTGCGCCCAGCCAACTTGAGTCTCGATTTCAATGAGTGAGGCGATGTCCTCCAGATTGGCCAGCACGGGCATTTTCTTGGGCATCGTCTCTGTATGCAGTGAAACATAGCTGATGAAGTCCTGGAAGTCCCCATCGCACTTCAGTGGGTTGTGGGTGATGTCCAATGAGCGGAGATCCTTGAAGCTCTTGATGTCGGAGGTGGCAATGCGCTTAATCAAATTGCCAGATGCATTGAAGGTACGCAGCGTCTCAAAGAACTTATAGCCGACGCCGAACTCCTTGTCTGTGAGCAACGATGTCAGCTCACAGTCATTCACGTCCAAGGATCGCAGCTGGCGGAGTGGCAGGAAGAGGCGCACGGACAGCTTGGTAATAGGGTTTCCGGCCAGGTTCAGCTTCGTTAGCTCATTGTTTTCCATAAAGACCAGCTCGTCCAAGTGCGAAATCAGATTGTTGCTCAAGTCCAAGTCGATGAGCTTCGTGAGGCTGGCGAACGTGTCACGGGGCAAGTTGTTGATATTGTTCCACGCCATCTTCAGTGTCGTCAGATGCGGCATGGTCGAGAAGGTCTTGTGGCCCATGGCACCAATGGCGCAGTTTGAAAGGTCCAAATAGTAGACTGTGAAGTAGCCATTGGAGCTGATGAAGCCATCAGTGGGCAATTGGCTCAGCTGGGGATTATCGTTCAGGCGGATGACATCCAGCTCGGAGTTCTTAAAGAACAGCATACTGGAGACCTGGTCTAGTTCGTTCATGGACAAATCAATGTGGCGCAGACTCCTCAGCGTAAGGAAAGAATCTGGCTGGATCTTGGTAATGCCATTGCCCTTAAGGTTCAGGTTCGTCAGGCCAGGCATTTTTTCGAACATGCTGTGATGCACATGGACAATGGAATTGAAGCTCAGGTCCAATTGCTGCAGCTCGGGCACTCCGAAGTGCAGATCGCCCGCGAATGTGTTGTATTTCAGATGCAGAATCGATAGCGATGTGCCGTTAAAGACGGTGGCTGGGAGCTCCTTGAGCGAGTTATAGGACAGATCAAGTTCCTCGATGGTTTCAACCGAGGCGAACACCTTCTCGGGTATCTTCTGCAAATTGTTCTGCGACAGATTAATGTAGACAATGTTGGAGAGCATCGAAAAGGCGCTCGGGTTCAATTCCATTAGGTTATTGCGCGAAAAGTCCAGCTCCTCAATGCTGGAGGACTAAAGCATGGAAAATGAATGGTTAATGTGAAAAAGATAAAGATCCTTGGACTCTACACAACATACCTTCAGCAAGTAATGGAACGTGGACATGAGGCTCAGATCATTGCCAGAAATGGTCACCATGCGCAGCTTCTTATTCTGAGCGAAGGTATCAGGGCTAATAATGCCGAGGCCAACGTCAGTCATATTGACGGCATAGAGATCGTCCAAGCCATGGAAGGCCTCTGCGTCCACATACTCAATGGTGCAGTTGGCGATCTTGATTGAGGCCACGAACTTCAGACCCAGCTGCTGGAAGAACTTGGGACCCAGCAGGATTGGATACTTCGGACCCACATTGGTAACCACCAAATCGGTGATGTCCGAGCCGAACTTTTGTGTACCCAAGTCCAGTCTAAGAAATCAAAAAGTCACTCGATATGAAAATGAAGCTTGAAATGGATCTACACACCTGCTGCAGGTGGCCACCAGGTAGCTGTTGATGTTACGCGAGCAGGCGCAATATCTGGGGCAGGGCACGTTCTCACTGAAGACGACCTGTTCCTCATCCGTCAGCTTGTCCACCTCGTCGTCATCGTCGGAACTAGAAGCGTAATTGAATTTGTACAGAACATGGAAAAGTCTCCGCTCGTCGCCATTATCATATAGATAATGCAGCTCATGAGCTCATTTGCTATCTCTAACTTACTCATCGTCGTCGCCGTCGTCGTCATCATCATCGTCTTCATCATAATCATATTCGCTGTCAATGGCGTTCTCATTTGCATTTTCCTTAAGGTCCTTGCTGCTCTTGGCCTGAAAGGGCATTCAAATTATGAAACATTCGAAAAGGGCAATTCCAGATCGTACCTTGGGCTTGCTGGAGGTGCTTTCTTCAATGGGACGCAGCTTGGGTGTGGTCGTCTTGGTCGGCTTGAGCTTTTTGGGCCGCGCGCTAGTCGTGTCCTTGACATCCTCATCGTCCTGCTCGTTCTCAGAGCTGTCGTAGCTATACGCATCGTACTCATAGTTGTCATCATACTCGTAGCTCTCCTCGGTGCTGTTCTTGCTGACTGTGGTATTTTCTGGCTTGAGGCGATCCGGCAGCATTTTGTTGAAGCGCGGATCCTCAGCTAGGGCCACACTGTGCTTGGCTGCCTCCATCAGGTCTTTCAGAGTCTCCTCGCTGACCTCCGATTTCTGTGTCTTCGCTGTGGTCGTATCCAGCGGCGCCTCCTTCACCTTGGGCGTGGATATTTTGATGGCAGCCTTTTTGGAGTCCAACTCCTCCTCGGAGAACAGCTCATTGCTTAGCTGGTCATCGGACAGCACCTTGGCTGCTTTAGCTGGCGTAATCGACTCGCTCGAGTAACTGACATGCAGTACACCCAGGGAGATGACCAGCAGCAACACCAGTCTCGACTGGCGACCCATTTTTATAGATCGTTAACTGCAAGGCAAGAAAAATTCAAGAGTTGACAAATTTAATAACAGGTAAGTGTTTTGGTGTTCCTGTTGCTGCACATAATGTGAAGCGCCGAACACATTCTGATACCAAGAATGCCAGAAATATGAAAGCTTATCTTATCTAAGGCTGCGCCAGGAGATAAGAGTACGTTATTTAATCAACAACTCGACTCTAAAGTACGATATGAGTACGCACAGTTAAATGGATGGCAACGAGCAGTACGGACCGATCTGCTTAACAGTCAGGCAGGCGATCTCTGTATGAGCTATATTGATCTCGGCATCCGGCTAATATGGCACTGATGACGTGCAGCGAGCGAGGTAGGTACTTGGTATGTTTTCTGTTGATAAACTCAATTAGCATCCGCCGATGCAAACCGTTGACATCACGGCAGTTAAACGCGAATGCTTCAGCAACTGCCACGATCACGCCTGGACGACCAGTTTTCGGGGGAATTTTTCTGAGCTTATTTTTTGGAACTATTTACTTATCAGCGAATGGCAATTGTTGTTGATAAACAACGCATGAATCTTTAGATATTTTCAATTTGTTACTCAGTCACTTGCCGAACATTTATCGAACAATAACTTTCCTTTCACAACTGCAACTCGACTGCTTTACGCCTTGACTCAGTCGTCCGATAATGCATAAATTTCGTTTAAAGAAAGTCAGCAATGAAAGGTGTTTGCAATGTTTCAATCATTACTTTTTTCTATTTTCAGCTCAGTTATATAACTTCAAGGCGAAACAAATAAATGATAACTTATCTAGATTAAAATGCAGCCAAAGGGCAACAGCATTATATATATATATATATATAGGGAGGGATAGAGAGAGATGTATGCATATAGATTGTCAATTATCGAGACGTGTTCCAGCCACAGGCCAAAAACTGTTAACGATTATTGGGAAACTCGTGTTAGATTTCTAGTTTCTCGTATAGCAAAAGGCGCTTGGCACGCAGACCAGAGCCATAAACATATGAATAAATATGCATAAACATTACTCCGAATGACATTTGTGCACATATGTGTGTGTGTGTGTGTGTGTGTGTGTGTGTGCGCGTGTCTATGTATGTGTAAGTCCAGCCAATACTAAGCCAAGCACAATCGACCCAAGTGGGGATCGTATTTTGTGAGCATGCGCCCTCTCACTCTCTCTCTCTCGCTCCCTCTCTCTCTCTGTCTCGCTCTCTCTTTCAACAAGCCACATGAACCTAATTCCCAATGGTCTTTGTATGAGTTTGTTTTCGGACAGTTTTTATATATATATCAGAGTCGAGTAATGTGGTAAACAAACAGCTTTTAAGTTAAACTTTTTGTTCACTAGGGCAGACAGAATATTTTTACTTTTTTTTCTGTTGCTGTTGTTGCAATGCAAATGCGCAGTTAAATTGCTAGCGAAAAAGCTAAACAAAACAAAAATGGCATTTATCTATAATGCATGACCATACTGGGTGGCTATGCGATATGTCTGTGTGTATACTCGACTGTAAGTCGTTTAATTAGACACACACCTCGCTCTGGCTGCGGATAGTTATCTGAGAGAGGCTGCGTGGGTGTCAAAGCGGCTGTGTGCAGTCACAGATACAGTTACACACTGACAGATACAGATGCAGATGCAGATGCAGATGCTGATGCAGATGCAGTTACAGATACATATATGACTGGCTGCAATGGCAGTAAACGTGTTTAGGTTTTTAGGTCTAAGGCGGGCCTATTGCCAGCTTTTCGTCGAGTCACGAGCTGCGCCTGCGCCTGCGCCTGGCTTTCCGCTGGAGGAGCTGTAGTTGATCATAGGCGCCGTACACGTCGACACGATACCATAATTAATTCCATTTGCCATTGCAATGAAGTCGCTGTTGGTTTGTGTTCAAGTTTAGAAAATAAAACCGGTACGGCCGCTGGCCAGACGAGGTACGTGTATGCAAATCAGCAGCGAGTCGGAAACCATGAGTCAACCAATTCATCATCTACTCCATATGTGTTCGATTGTATTAAAGCATGCTGTGTGGCTATGTAGTCTAGCTACATCATCGCCGATATCTGTCAACCTACGAACCCTGACCGCCCTCCCCATCCCCTCTCCCTATCACTCTACACAGTTCGATGTTATCTGTGGAACCTGTTGCTGTCGTCCGTCGCATTTGTTTACTCGCGAGTTATATGGATGGATGATATGCATAAATAGATCCGAGTGGATTTTTGTGTTTCGCATCTAATTAACTTGGCCTGCTACACATTTAGCTAACTTCGAGCCGGTTAATATTTATTTAATAGACAAACAAACGCCAGGCACGGAAGTCAACAAAGCAAACAAGCTTTTTATTTTAACTTTCTTTCATTGAAGCACTTCTAACTCAGAGATATGGAACACTCAAGCTGAACAACAAATACTTGATATATATATTTCCTGAATGGCAACATTTCCCATATTGAGAACGGCGCCGTTCCTACGCTAATAATCGTCGATTTTCTATATCTCTTTGAGCCCAGTTTCTCTAATATCTTCTGGAAGCTTCGAATATTTGTTTATTTACTGGGCCAAAACACAGCTTGAACCTTTTAAACATGTACATAAATATTTATATAGCATTTAAGGGTATCCGGAAATGCATAGATCACAGCTATGGCCAAAAAGTATCGCATTACCGAAAGCTATTGACAAAACTGCAGTTTGTTCGTGGCGGGTTTTGGTGTAGAGAAAATCGATGGGTTCGAATTTTCAGTTATTTATTTGATCAGGCATTTGGCGTCTGACTGCGGTCGGACGATCGCTCTGACCGATAGACTTTTCCCATGTGGCTACGGCTGGCACCCGCATTCGTGGCCGTGTAAAAAAACCGTTTCATATTACAAACAGCCGAGCGGAGACAATAACAAAATGTCATCTGGCGACGGCTGGCATGTGGAGCACCAGCTGCTGGTGACTGCCCCATGAAAGTTATCAAAATAAGCATTGGGCGCAGTCGCCGCTGGGTGCGCCCTGAAGCCAGCCAGTGACGATATGATAAATGGCTAAAGAAATGGTAAAATTTGAAATTGGTAACAGTTGCCGCTGCACAGTCGACTCTCTACGAGATCAGCGTTCAGCGATCTGCGCATGACTCACAAGGTCTCTGCGACTCGAACTGTGAACAGAGCCAGCAGCCAACAGCTTAACTCTAGGTAGTTTCACCTTGACAGTGGCTTAAAATTTCAAAACTTTTAGCATTTGAACCCAAACAAAATTCAGTCGAAAAACACACACACACACACATGCGTGCGTGGGTGCCTTGTGTGCGTAGAGATCTCGATTGAGCTGTTGTCACGTTAAAAATAACCAGGGTACGCACTGTATTTGCTTTCGAGCAGGAAGTGAAATGAGATTCGAGTCACCTTTTGCAGCATGTGTGCGCCCCGGCGAACACAGCAGGTAGACACTGCAAAGGACAAAATATGTTATGTTCTTCCTTTGAGATTGTACAAAAAATAAAAACAGCAAGGAAAAAACAGCAGCGGAAGTAATTTCGCAAATGTTGTTAAGCCGAGGGTGATTTTATGTAAGACACAAATTTCAAGCGTCTCACGAGAATTAATTGAAACAAGACTGAAATTTTTGTCGAAAATTAATTACACTTTTGAGTGAGCTAATCCATGCCAACTTTTTATCAGTACATCGCCTCTACATCATTGTGATGTATTGAGGTGAAGAAGAAATGTTTAGCTTATGATATGAAATTCATTATTAATTTTCATCAATATTTTTATTTCTTTTTTATTTTCATCAGCCATTTTCGACTTCTGCATCATATGTGATGTAAGCTGATGTTGAATAAATTCAGTTCAGACTAAAGAAGCAGCATAGTAGAGCTGCTAAATGTCGGGCAAAATCTAGTTATTTGTAAAGATTGATTAGTTTCATATCTTCAGATCTTTACTGCTTGAAAAAGAGAACATTTCATGAGAATTGCTTCAATCTACTTTATATATCTGGCTTAGCAACAGCCAAAATGATATCGCTTCAGCTTCTGTAACTGCCAAAGAATACTGATCAGACTTTAAGCACATTATATGATCAATCAGTTCATCAGCTGTCAGAGAGTAGTCTCCCAAATATTATATATTTATACTGATCAGACTTTAAGCACATTATATGATCAATCAGTTCATCAGCTTTAAGAACGTAGTCTCCCATGTAATATATATTAAAACTGATCAGACTTAAAGCACAGCACATGATCACTTGTTCAGCTGCCAGAGGGATGTTTCCTATGCAGGAATTATATATTTATACTGATCAGACTTTAAGCAAATTATATGATCAATCAGTTCATCAGCTGTCAGAGAGTAGTCTCCCAAATATTATATATTCATACTGATCAGACTTTAAGCACATTATGTGATCAATCAGTTCATCAGCTTTCAGAGCGTAGTCTCCCTGTTAGGTAGTACATATTTGGTAACAAAATCATTATACATTACATTAGGGTATATAACGAGTGTTTTTATTCTATATACGCAACTGTGGAGCTTAGCTATCTGGTTTTTGGCGCACCTCGATCACGACTTAATCCCGTTTATTGACAGTTCATTAGCAGCCGCAGGCTGCGTGATATTTCAGTGGTTATTTGTTATTAAAACGGGGCTGATTGCAATTTAATATCAAGCTGAATGCGAGCAATAGCAATAGATACCTTAGGTATATAGATCAGTTCTGTTTGTAATGCCAGATGCAATGCCTTCAGATATTGGGAATGTACCCGAATGACTTTTGACTGATATTATGCTTAGTATATAGATACCTTATATAGCTATGTGTGTGTGTTTATGCATTATTTCGACTGCTGCTCATCATTTCTGCGACGTTAAGTTTTGCACTAAAAATGTTTTATACGAGAGCTGCAGAAGCGTAAAACGACAACATGCGCGTACAATGGAAAAATTGCTCAAGGCGTGCACATAAAAAATGCCGACATTTGACCACACACATGAGCAAACACA